AAGTATGAAGTCTTTCAGAAATCACAGTGACTGGTGGAAGATGCAAAAACTCAGTTTCGGCTGAAAAAAGCCATACTGCTAAGACCTGGATGCTGCCGCTTCCAGCGGCCCGTTAAAATTCGCAAATAAATTAACCGGAATCGAGCATTACAAAGTGCGTAACAGAACGGATTAATCGTTGAATTGATGTAACACAAAAAATATGCAATATAGAAATATTCCTCGGGAATTGAATTCTTGTTAAATGCTTCCCAGCACACAATCACTAAAATAATAGTTTATGTGTCTCACCATAAAATAATGATTTTTCGCTAAAAAATTACGAAGAAAAAAATGGATTTTTCATATATTTTTTAGTGGCACATCGTATATTAAGCAACACTTTTTGATCACTCAAAAACTTTTGATCGCACCTTCGTCGCTTACTTAATACAGCCTGCTGATCATTTTTCATTTGCACGAACAGATCCAATGCGTTTTCTTATTCGGTGATATAACCTGCCCAATCAATCAAAACTCAAAGATTCAGACAGTCACAAACTACATTAATTATTACTAGTCCTGTATTTCAGTCTCGAAAAAGGCAAGTTGGTAGTATTTATCTGCTGTGATATTCACTAACGCAAGTAGCAACGCAATAGGCTTACTGATGCGATCATGCCCTTTTGCCCGAATTTTAAAGCAGTCAGGTCGTTAAGAGCATGACTTTGCAATCTAACATGTGCATTCGTTCTGGCAATATTTTTAACTTTTCTTGTATGTAGGGGAAAAGTGGCGTCGGCTGAGATAACAATGTTGCATCGTGAGGCTGCGTGAAGTAATCTCCAACATATATGATTTTATAAATTTCGCATGAAGGGGTTGTAGCGGCATAAATTGTTTGTTAGGTTTGATTTTGTCCAAATGTTTCCCTCTGCTATAACAATATTATATCGAAAAGTAAAAATTACCGCTATAGGGCGTCCAGGTAATGATAAAAGCTAGTAAAATAGCTGATAACGTTTTTGCTGCCTTGCTTTCCTGCTTCCGTTCGTTTTTCCTTCTTTCCTTCTCGCTTTTACGTTGTTCATTTAATAGCTTTCTGAAACATCTTTGTAATATTTCTTTGCTTGCTTTCATGCAAAATGGTTTAGACATTGTCGTGTTCAAACGCTATGAGCGGTAAGCCCAGTGGCACTTGCAAGCATTCATTACAAGAGGACTAGACAGACATGTTCAAAATTTTAAGACTCTTAGACAATAACTTACTCTGATCAAGAATTTACCTTCTTTCCTAAATGAGAAATATTTGGCAAACTTTATCAATTTGATGTTAATCTTACTGTTTCTATTTTCTGATTTCTAATGGGAATTCAGAATCCCTAGCTAGTTCCAGCTTTATTTCTTGGCTGAATTTTGCCGCAGCAAATTGCTTTTTTACATCTCAGCATGATAATTCTAATTTCCTCGCTTTCCCTGCCCTTCCTCCTCCCCCCCCCCCCCCCCCCCCCCCCCCCCCCCCCCCCCCCCCCCCCC